CCTTTCGTGGAGGACTTTCTAAGGAAAACTGGCTCGTATACACGTTACACATGGGGAAAACCACGAAAACACCCATGCAGCCAGCCCGTTCGCGGGATTCGAACCTCGGACCGAACTACCAGTGTTCAGCAACTTTACCGCTCGGCCGCTGGTGGGCTTGGAATATGGTAACAAATAGTTTGGCGACATTTTGGAGGCGATAAAGGTTACTACCTAGGACTTTGGGAATAATGTGAGAAGTACTCAGTTCCGATTACGCATTATTTTGTGTGAGGGAAATGAGAGATCATGAGCTATGTCATGTGACATTAATGGACGAATTACAGTTCTTTAATCGGAAAAGGGGAGAAATTTGGAAAAATATCTGCAGTACTATTTTGTCTTTTGTATTAAGCTTCATCGTGTGTTGTGTGAATGAGTGTTGATTAATTTTTGGATCGCATAGCACTATCTAAAGTGAATTCTAAATTTTTAATGCGTTTATCTGAAAATCCAAAAGAATTGGTTGAATGGTGTAGGATTAATTGCAGATAAGTATGAATGTCCAACATGTGGGAATGAAATGAGATTGCGTGAAAGGAAGGATATTACAGATAAGTTTGAATGGCGGTGCAAGAAATCTGTTGAAAATGGACATTTTGTGATCCGCCATACACTTAAGATTCTGTAGAAGATTAGGTAAGTTAGTATTTTTAATCATTTGAGGATATTATTTTTATGCACTGTTCTAAATGTAAGGAGTAAATAAATTAATATGGTATTATTGGAAAATTGTTATTAGCAATGATTTAGTTTAAATTAGGATTGTAAGCGAATTTTTATTAATTTAATGTATATGCTTATTTATATTTTAAGTAGTGTTTTTTAATTTAATTATATTTTAATTTAATGATCGTGATTTTGTGAGTTATATGTTTGTAGTATTTTGGAATACGTTTGAGTAGAAATAAATATGCATGGAAAGAATTTAAATATTTGACACTAAGTATTTGGAACCATTTTTAATGTTTGCGTTATAAATTGACAGGTGAGGTTTATAATAGATAATTTAGAGGGAAAAGTTTTTGGATATTTTATTTATTTTATACATGCAAATGTTCATCTTTGGAAAGGGTATATACTTTTCCGCGATCAGGTAATTTCATATATGTCCTTTTTACCGAATTTAAAGATTCACAAAATTTTCATGCATTTTCGTGAAATTTTTCTAATTTATGAGAAAAAAGCAGTGCACGTGGATATAGTGAAGAGTGTGCGCAATGCCATTTTTGTGCAATTCTGGGATTTCTTTTAAGTAAAAATAAGTCGATGTGTACATGGTTTAATTATATTTTAATTAAATGATAGTTATTTTGTGAATTATATGCTTGTAGCAGTTTGGTATATGTTTCAGTGGAAGTAAACGTGTATGGAAATAATTTAAATATTTGACACTAAGTATTTGCAACCATTTTTAATGTTTGCGTTATAAATTCGTTGGTGACATTTATAATAGATAATTTAGAGGTAAACGTTTTTGGATATTTTATTTATTTTATATGTGGGGTTGATCTTTGGATTATGGTAACTTGGTGATTTTTTGGCGATTAACTCTGCTACAGCAACCCTCTATTTTTTTCGCCGCCATTTTGTCTTCACGAAGTAAAGACATGTTTCTTTTCTTTTTATTTACTCAACACGTTTTCCAACAATCTACTAGCCGAATTACACTTATGCTAGAAATTTTATGTAACAAAAACTGCTTAATCATGACAAATATTAACTGCAAAATTGGGAAAAAGTGCACAATCGCAAACTCCTTGCGCGTTTTTTCAGAATAGCACATACACATAAACCATTTACACGTCGACTTATTTTTACTTAAAAAAAATCCCAGAATTGCACACACTCTTAACTTTATCCATCTACACTGCTATTTTCTCATAAATTAAAAAAATTTGCACGAAAATGCAGGAAAATTTTCTGAATCTTTAAACTCGGTAAAAAGCACATATATGAAATTACCTGATCGCGAAAAAGTATATACCCTTTCCAAGGATGAACATTTCCACGTATAAAATAAATAAAATATCCAAAAACTTTTACCTCTAAATTATCTATTATATTATAAACGTCACCAACGAATTTTTACCACAAATATTAAAAATAGTTACAAATACTTAGTGTCAAATATTTAAATTATTTCCATACACGTTTACTTCAACTGAAACGTATACCAAATTGCTACAAACATAAAATTCACAAAATAACTATCATTTAATTAAAATATCACTAAACCATGTACACGTCGACTTATTTTTGCTTAAAAAAACATCCCAGAATTGCACAAAAATGGCATTGCGCACACTCTTCACTATATCCATGTACACTGCTTTTTTGTCGTAAATTAGAAAAATTTCACGCAAATGCATGAAAATTTTGTGAATCTTTAAATCCGATAAAAAGAACATATATGAAATTACCTGATCGCGAAAAAGTATACACCCTTTCCAAGGATGAACATTTCCACGTATAAAATAAATAAAATATCCAAAAACTTTTACCTCTAAACTATCTATTATATTATAAATGTTGCCAACGAATTTCTACCGCAAACATTAAAAATGTTTACAAATACTTAGTGTCAAATATTTAAATTATTTCCATGCATGTTTACTTCAACTGAAACGTATACCAAATTGCTACAAACATAAAATTCACAAAATAACTATCATTTAATTAAAATATAACTAAACCATGTACACGTTGAGGTTTAATCCTAGTATCCGGTGCACACGGGATATGGCGACTTTATGATGAGCAGTAAAAACGGGACATATACGATTAGTAAACGGGTCATTCAAAGAATATATATAGTTATACACAGTATATACTATGTATATAGTGATAGTAAATAGTGTATAGTATATACATAGACGTTCTTTGGGTCATTTTTGGTGTTGGCGATAATTTTCAAAATCGCGCCAAGGCTGCACCGTATACTAGAATTTTACCCACGTTGACTTATTTTTACTTAAAAAAAATCCCAGAATTGCACAAAAATGGCATTGTGCACACTCTTCACTATATCCATGTACACTGCTTTTTTCTCATAAATCAGAAAAATTCACGAAATGATGAAAATACTCAACGTATTCTACTCAAACGTATTGCCAAAATCTACAAACTATAACTCACAAAATCACGATCATTAAATTAAAAAACACTACTTAAAATATAAATAAGCAATACTTAAATTAATAAAAATTAGATTACATCCTAATTACTTTAAACTAAATCATTTCTAATAACAATTTTCCAATAATACCATATTTAATTTATTTACTCCTTACATTTAGAACAATGCATAAAAATAATATCCTCAAATGATTAAAAATACTAACTTACCTAATTGCAGAATCTCATTACGTGGCATGCACACTTCCCTACAGGAAGAGTTCAATGGGCTGCAGTACTACTGCTAATTTCTAAATCTGAAATCCCGTAGTCAACTGGCAGTCTATTCACCCAGTAATAGAAATTAATAAAATTTCACCATACTCAAACTACTTTCAGCAAACCACGTACCCTTCCTTACAGTCCGTTTCACAAAATGTCCATTTTCACCAGATTTCTTGCACCACCATTCAAACTTATCTGTAATATCCTTCCTTTCACACAATCTCAACTTATTATTATTATCAGATAAACGCATTAAAAATTTAGAATTCACTTTATATAGCGCCATGCAATCCGAAAATTAATCAACACTATTTCACACAACACACAATGAAGCTTAATACAAAATACTATAGTACTGCAGATATTTTTCCAAATTTCCCCCCTTTTCCGATTAAAGAACTGTAATTCGTCCATTAATGTCACATGACATATCTCATGATCTCTCATTTCCCTCACACAAAATAATACATAATCGGAACTGAGTACTTGGAATGTACACATTATGAATATTAATATATTAATGAATGAGTACACATTATTACCAAAGTCCTAGGTAGAAACCTTTATCGCCTCCAATCCCAATTTTGCAGTTAATATTTGTCACAGTTAAGCAGTTTTGTTCCATAAAATTTCTAGCATAAGTGTAATTCGGCTAGCAGATTAGGCAAAACTTGGAAAAAGTTTTGAGTAAATAAAAAGAAAAGAAACATGTCTTTACTTCATGAAGAGAAAATGATGGCGAAAAAAAAAACAGAGTGTTGCTGTAGCAGAGTTGGTCGCCAAACTTTCGCAAAAAAAATCGCCAAATTACCATAATTCAAAGATTAACCATATTTTCGTATAATTAAAGAAGTTTCCGTCAATAGATGCCGGTTCTCGACTCCAATTTTTATGGCGTAAAATTTCAACAAGATACTATATTGTTAATGCTTTTCTAACAATAACCTTTCCGAGGATGGCAGGTGTAACATAAATAACTGATTAAATTGAAATAAAAAATATTATTGATTATCTAAGATGACAGAGTAGTTTGATGCATCCCCATGGTCATCAAAATTAGCAAAACACTGTTAATGTAAGGAAAACAGTTCAAATAACTCTTGAAAAATAATAAAATGTAATAAGTTCTAGTTTTGTTAACAATGCTACTAAAGAAAATTTGATTACTGTTGAAGGTTATCAGTATTGTGAAATATATTATAAAAAAGACAGGTTTATTTTCGTATATCACGTTTAACCGGTTAGTTTTACATCTGCATGCTTATTATCTGTGAATTTTTACTACCATATGCTTAATATATTGTTTTGTCTGCTAACTTTGAATTTACATGCACTTAAAATCACGTTTACGGCTCTGCTCATCCCTTGGCGAGTAAAAATTGCATTGGCGCCAACGGGTTCTCTGCGCACCTATGGGTTAGAATTAGATGGACTCATAACAGAGAGAGGGTGCTTATTTTGAAATTACTAGAAGTGAAATGAGTGTCTAATTAATAGCACCTAACCGGTTACGAGTGAAATTACAGGAATTAAAATAAAAATCATAGGAATGTACTTACTCCCTCTACGATCATTCGATATTCTCCTAAGATGCCATAGCAAATACAAAGATTAATCACTATATCATACTTTAACCACTTAAAATCAAATCCGAAAATTCTAGTTTAAAGGACACAGTTAAACATTTTGCTTCGCTGTATTTCCTAATTGTTTCTAAATTAATTTCTTCTAATTGTTTCTACGAAAGTTTAAATTACATTTCTTGATCCGGATATGCTATACCTATAATGCATATATTATATTCTTCAAGACAAACAAGATGTTATATTATAAATTAAAAGCACAACTCAGAAACACGAAGATCTGTTCACTTTGACTAAACAAACGCTTCAAACATGTATCTAAATCCCAGTCTTTCTGCCCGACGGAATTTTCTTTCGTCGTTCTTTCTTTGAATCAAATACTCAAAGCCCTTAGCTATCACGAAGCGACCATATAGTAATACGCAGTGGCTAATCGCACCGACGGTATAACAAGCTATTCACACGACAAGTGTAACAAGCTATTCACGCGACCTACGTTCGCGCATGCGCACAAGCAGCCGAGGTACACGGCAGGCAGTACTGAGAGCGAACGCAGTGGCTAATCGCACCGACGGTACCAATAGCTAACAGGCTATTCACGCCACCTACGTTCGCGCATGCGCACAATCAGCGCAGGTACCAGCGGTTTCATGCCGATTTCTGTAAGGCAGGCGGTAGCAAGGAGGTTAGAATATTCTAACCTCCTTGGGCGGTAGTGAGAGCGATAGTTGTTAACCCTAACTCAGCAATAGAAGGGGTTGTTAATAGTTCACCAGCAAGAGAATAATTTGCAAGTAATAATTATCAGTTACTAAGACGAATTCAATCTATATACATGATAATGTTCAGGAAATGATTAGATAAAATAGGAATTTAATGATGGTTTTAATTGCAAGCGAGGACGAGTAATTAGTTAAAAAAATTACTTAAGTTCTTTTATTTAACAGAGGAATTTTTATGCAAACTTAGACCCTAGTCTTGTAGCATTGGACTGTCAGAATTTATTATTCAATAAGAAAACTTAGTGAAAATTATAATATTCTTATATATTCATCACGTTTTCAGTATCCACTCATGTTTATAGGTTAACATGAGTGGATACAATATCAAAGTTATTTATAAAATAAAAACCATATTAAATCTGATAAATCATTTGTGTGTGCAAATTTTTAAATCTAAATCTCTTACATTAAATTATTTCTGTCTTTTAAATTACATCCCATTATTTATTTCAATTTAATTGATTAATGTGTTTGCACTATTATTTCAAAGTTCTTTGAAGCACCTTTTGTGTCCTGAAAATGCCAAGTATTTCCATAAAAAAAAAAATAATAAGCAGGCATACAGAATAATCCCTATAATCGCTTTTAACTTATTTCATGTCCAATTTTCTACACAGAAATCCGCTGTCTAATTGTGAGTGTCTTTTATCGGACGAAATTTTTCAAAGAGGAATGAATTAAAGGCTTGATTGAGCAAAACACATCTTTAAAGCTAAATGTATTCTATGAAGTACAAAAAATGTCAACACGATTTTGCCTCCCCTTCAAATCAGTTATTTAAACTATTCAAACCGTTCAGGAAAAGGATAAACATTGCGAACATAAAAATCTCCCTTTTTTTATATATGCTTTAATGAAAGGAAATGTGTTCCTTCTTTTTATAAGAAAAGGAACCCATTTTCCTTTCTAAACTTTTGAAAGTCTCCAACGCTTAAAAAATGATAAACTACGCCAAGGTAGAAACCCGCGTTTGACAACTCAATGCGCATGCGTAGTTAATGTTGGTGTGAATAGCTTAAGCGGCTATTTGCACCGGTGGTGCGAATAGCATCGGCCAGAGTAATACTACATCTACAGATCGTATTTTATTTTCGAGTATCAAAAGATGTTGAAACATCTTTCACTCGACTTCTGATAAGAATCTGGAAGGAGAAGGAAGAGGAGAAGTGTGGTAGGAGGTGTGGGAGGGAAGAAAAAGAGAGTCAGGTCCGCGCTAGCGGCGGCGAAAGGGGGGTGAGGACAGTGTCGTTACAAGATGTAGCAGCGGGTGACAGATCACAGAGTCAGTTAAAAAGGATCAATGTCTTGCAAATGGCAGTTTCTCATTACAGCCACAAACATAATATAGTTTTTTGATTGCAGAATTCATTTCCTAGCTATAAGATCACTATTTTACAATTCACATTTTAATAATTATCCGGCTCAAAATGACTGTTTTACTCCCCGCTCATTTTTGATACAGTGGCCAAGCAAGCTCTAATTTAAATTACGCAAATTCAGATGGAAGATCTTCACCTGATACAGAGAAAAAGGAGGCGCTGCTTTCTGAAACTCATATTCACTATATGTTCTTAGTAGTAGAAGGAAGGAAATGCTTAATCTTAAATGAAGCATTCCTCAACCTTGACTTTTAAACTGGTGTGCGGAAGATAAATGATTAAGAAGGGACGACGCATGGAACATTTTGTGTAATGAGTATTTAGCAGCTTTTTGCTTTAGCCAATATTTTATATTTCACAAATTTTAAACCACTATATGATTAGAGAGAATGGCTTTGGTGGCGACAGTTGGCTTTTTTAAGAAAGTACACGACAAAGAGGTTAGAATACCTCCCACGGATACTCCGTGATACCTTCTATTCTAATCTCCTTGGTACACGACATCTTATGGCACCAACCCTCTGCTTTTAGTCTCAATCTGACAGTCTGTAATTTAGTATAACTAAGAAAACCCTGAACGGGACGCGTATTTCCAAACCCTACCCCATTTTTCGAATTTTTGACGTCACGGAAATATCGTCTAGTTTCACCTGGCAAGACGGCGTACCCCACTTTTGACTACTACGGCGCGTTTTCGAAAGAATTGTGGTGTTGATTAGTGTGTTTGGGTGCTAATTGTGAGATTTTCGCAATTTAAATTATTATGAGTGGAAATTTAAGCAAAATCTTTAGTGAATAGTTGTTTATCGCCGTAGTGTACTTGAGGAAAGAGCTGAATAATTCACTGCTGATGCATTAACAGTATGAAAAATTTGGAAATGTGATGCATTCATCGCAAAATTCAGCGAAGCCAGTAAAACAAACGAGTGTTCGCAAAACTTATCCACATCTGAAGTCACTATACAAAAATTGTATGTGTGCCAACCCAGATATTTTAATAAATAAATAAATTAAAAAAAAAAAAAAAAAAAAAACAAACTTGCAGAAAACTTTAGATCAAGGAATAAGAAAGAATTGCAGTGCCTCTGTGTGCTTAAAAACTACGAAGCATTCTGCAGACTATACCAAAATCAAGGTTGACAAATAGATTAATAAATTTTAATGTTTCTTTTAGTGTATATATTCAAAAGTATTAAAATAACTTGGACAGTTGTTTAATTGCTTAAAACAGCAATAAAGTTCATTTATAAAGATATACAAGGAACTTCATAATTATCAAAATTTCATTGCTTTGGTGAAAAACTAAAATTACTTAACTTTTATAACATTAAGTATCTTCGTAACTGTAGTATTATGCTCTGTTTTATAACTTTATTCATTTGTTATACATTAAAATATTTTGTTTTATTTACTAAATGTGTAATCAATTATCAGGATTACTAAATGTGTTAAGAATTTCCATACATGCTTGTGCAGTGTGATTGCATGTTTGTGTAATGAATGAAAAAGAAAGTTCAAGTGTGTGTCTGTGCAATTTTGACGATATAAATACTGAAATGTGTGTACAGTAAAAATTCAACTAAAAAATATTCGGAAAGCTCTTGAAATTTTGGATAGTCAAGCATATAAAAAATGAAATACTGTAATAAGTGAATGGAAGAATAAACTACTAGTCTAAAATCATAAAAACAGTTCATCTTATTTGTATCAACTTGACTATCAAAAGCCAATATTTAATATTATGCACGATTTTGAAAAAAATGTATGCTGCTGATCTTTGGAATATGATAACGGGTTATTTTTACAATGGTTGTTAAGACTGCAAATTGAGACTTTAAATATGAACAATAGTAATCTGAAATTTGAAATTGTAATTTTATATCCAACAATCTCTGCCAATAACTCCATGTTTTAAGCAATTAAAAATACATATTTTTAACCACTTGTTATTAATTGTATAAAGTAAATTCTATAATTTAAATTTTATTTACTTTCATCTATTTTAATGTTTGCCATTATAAATTTCATACTACATTTTAAGATTTCATTGTTGCTAATTAAACTTCCTTTACAATTTATTTAGTTATTTTATACGTACATTTATATTTTATGTAAGAAAGGGATTTATGTGCAATAGATATACAGCAAAAATCATCATCACACAAAACAGAGGGGACTGAAATATTTTTTCGTGTTAAAGAATATTGAAAAAAAAAAAAAAAACATATATTCAACAAAATTAAGCTTATTAGAGTACATATTATTTACATAGATATGTATATATGCATATTTTTAATAAAAATCAATGAAACAAAAACATCCACAAGAACTTAATGGAATTTAATACAAAATTTTCAAGTTTTTTGAAAAAAAAAAACATTTATTGAGTTTGGGGAAAATAATCTGATATTTTTCTTTGCATTGTCTTTTTTAGCATCAAATTGTTCAATGTCGAACATTTTGCTATTCATTTCACCATTGGAATGTGCACCTGTATAATTGTCCATACTTTTTATGATGTTCCTCATTTAAGATGATGTGGGAACAGGAACTGCATTATTCATTTATTTTCGTCATCAGAATCTGCATCAATGATATTTTTTTACCTTTGAACAAACTCTAAAATAACTTTGTCTGCCATAATTGGGGCTGTACACACATTATCGTAAACTGCTGCAACAAATTCTTCCGATAGACAGTAAGACAGTTCATTAATACAGAAACTTTCTCAAACATTTCATTAAGCGTCAGCTCAGTTTCAATATCCTACTTCTCCATTTTTTTGGCGCCAGAGAACGATACTTTTGAGAATCGTGTGTAATGAAAAGAATTTTCATTAATGCTTAGAATCGCTGAATTCCATGCAATGCATCATATGCACAAAACTCACTAATTTTTACTCATACTACCATGTACTCGTCACCAAATTCCAAAGCTAACTGATGAGAGATGAGATGTTTGTAGAGGTGGAAGGCAAAAGTAGCATAGATAAACAAAACTGGCTAGTATCACAGGCTATTTCGAGGGTATTTCAAAGCCAAATTAGCCTCTTTTCTAAGGAAACGTGAAACCACCTCTCTTTCATTTCACACTCCGCTTAAATCTCCCCTGCGATGCCAGTGTTTTCTGTATTTTGTTCATTTCCAGAAAGGATACCTTTTCATGTTAAACAATTTTTGTTGT